AATGTCTCTCTGGGGAATATATATACTTTGAGCACGTTGTACATTATTGAGGAAAATAAGTCATAGACGCAGATACCTTCGTTATTATGAGTATGATCATCGTCAATAAAATCATTAACTAGATTACCCCAGTTGAGACTCGAGAGGTGTTCCCTACGTCACTTATAATCCGAAGAACGAAAATCAGTGACTTCTACTGCATTATTCATATTTTCGCACTCCCAGGTACCATTCAAGGTGATGGGTTTGTGGTCACTTACGAGGGTTTCTTTATTTGACAAGACTACGTCCACAAAACTTTTGTCCTTCGTAGGCTCTGATACACACTGCTTCAGAAAGCAGTCCTGAACTACTTCAAGGAAATAACTGAACTCAAGTTTACCGATCAAAGAAGTCCAGTCAATTTGTCTAAAGTTAAAATTTCCTAATATCACTTCGTTTGTAGATGAATGGTTCAGAGAACCGACATGTTGATAAATTAGACACATGTGCAACTCTTGGGTATCTTTATTGAGGAAACGTTTCGCCACACAGTGGCTTCATCAGTCCATACATAGGAGAAACTTGAAGAACAGGAGGAGAATGAGGTAATCAGTCCCTCAACCTTGCACATGTGTCTAATTTATCATCACTTCGTTATCAAGTCTAGAAGCCCTAGCAATTTCGTTCAAAAAAAGTCTCCCTCTATCGTTTTCTAGGCAGGAGGTCGGTATATTACACATAATATTAGCTTTTCATGACTTTCTAGAAATTTTACCCAGACAGATTCTGTGACTAATCCACGTATTGTTTTTTACTTGATTTTATGCAACAATTTATATTTTCTGGTACATATAATGCTACTCCACCCACCTTCCCGTTATTTCTATCTCCATGGAACAACTTCAACACTTGGCTGTGGCTCTCGGAAATCATGTTCCGACTCTTTAAATTATACTATATTTCACTTATTGCAATAACATCAATATTTTCCCCACTCGCTGCCGAACGTATTTCATTAACATTATTCCTGACGCTTCGACTATTTGTATAAAGTACATTATTATGTTTATTCTCCATCACTTTTTTCCCTATACAGATTTCTGTTTCCACAGTTTCTGTTATCATCATTTCCCAATGTTACTTGATGACTGTTATTCTTAAGATTCACGATATCAAAGCCTAAATCACTATTTCCACACTCCATATTTTCCCTTCCACAACCCATACCTCTAACTAATGCTAAGTTAGAAGCTCTAACAACTCCCTCAAGACCTTCTGAAAGATTTGGATCAGTTTATTTTGTGTTCAAACAATTACCAAAGGTTTTAATGCTTAAATAACACCTTAACCTCTGCTCATAAGGACTTAATAATATAGAACTTTATCTAAAATATTGTGGAAAGAACGGTTTATGTTATAAGAAAAGATAAAAGAAGAACAGAGTGTGTAAATATGCGCACTCTACAAGATGATCGAGAACAAATAAAACCCCATGCAGAATACATATTTTTTTAAAGTATATTAAAGTATATTAAAGTATATGGGTTTCTGGAACGGATTAATTGTATTTCCATTATTTCTTATGGGAAATATTGCTTCGAATTTCAGACTTTTCGAATTTAGAACTAACTCCTGGAACGGAGAGATCGACACCATGCCTAACCCATCTAGGGTAGGGTAGGTGCCTGAGCCAGAGCTTGCAGCTCACAAGACTGTCATTCCCATTAGCCCCCTTGGGGCGGGGATGGCAGACCAGAGAGGCCTAGCTTGTGGCTAGGCCTGTGGACAGTTGGTCCCAAAGATGAGGAGGTACTTGTGCCTCCTCCTATGGGAGACTTAGGTCTCAGACACTCCCTAAAGAGGGAGCCAAGGCCGGGCCACCACGTGGAAAAGGCCCGGGCCGGGAGAATACCGGCTAATCTTTAATAATAATAGTAATAAACTGGAACAGATTAAGTTCGATTTTTAAGGTTCCACTGTATTACGGTTTTGACATATGACTGTGAAAACGATGAATCATGTTATGTATCACCTGTTTTAATGTCTCATTTTATAAGCACTTTACTGTAAGTAGAACATTGAAACTGATCTGTTTCCTATGTATGAGGGGGGATTTGCATGTACTGTACAACGCCCTTAAAAGGAATCCTGTACAGTGTACATCATTTTTATATCTATTGTTCACTACAAAACAAAAAGACATTGGGCGATAATATGCATTCTTCATACGGTGCTTTCATTTTAGAACCCCCTGTTATAATTTTAGAACCCCCTGTTATAATTTCAGAACCCCCTGTTATAATTTTAGAACCCCCTGTCATAAATATTTTTAGAACCCCCTGTTGTAAATGTTTTTAGAACCCCCTGTTGTAAATTTTTTTAGAACCCTTTGTTATAAATGTTTTTAGAACCCCCTGTTGTAAATGTTTTTAAAAAACCCTGTTATAAATGTTTTTAGAACCCTCTGTTGTAAATGTTTTTAGAGCCCTTTGTTATAAATGTTTTTAGAACCCCCTGTTATAAATGTTTTTAAAAAACCATGTTATAAATGTTTTTAGAACCCCCTGTTATAAATATTTTTAGAACCCCCTGTTATAAATATTTTTAGAACCCCCTGTTATAAATATTTTTAGAACCCCCTGTCATAAATGTTTTTAGAACCCCCTGTTATGTTTTAGCTCTATGTAAAAACTTATAAGATGTAGGTATCAGTGAATCTTGTAAGTGAATATGCGACGTAGTTCTGACTTCCTGTTCAAGAATTAACTTCAGTGTGTAAGAAAACTTGTAAAATCGTAAGACATAGTTGTCGTACTGCATCAGATAAATTTTCATACGAACAGAAATTAACAGAAAAGAAATTAACTCTTTAGACGGGAGTAAAATAAATTATGGTATTATAGTGTACAAATAGAAAAAAATAATTAAAGAAATTAAATAAATATGAATAAATTATTAACGGTGTATAATAGAGAAATTGCAATAGTTGATTTTAAGCTGAAATGCAAAGATTTATAAATGAAAGAAATGTAATAATCAGATGAGAGAAATGCAGACAAGTGGAATAAGTTGCCAAGTGTGATTAGTCTTGTAAATACTTAAGAAAGTTATCAGAACTGACTGTTCGGTGGCTTGAGTGGCAGAATATAGACTTAACTATTGTTTTCATCCTTAAAATACCTTCCTTGACATCTAGCACTCGAGGTCGTGGGTTGAATATACATGTTTGTATATATGCATGTATGTAATGCATGTATGTATGAATGTTTGAATGTATGTAACAGCTAAGAATGAACCAGCAAGGATTTTGTACCTTCCTCTGCTTTATATTAAATTATATGGATTAAATTATCCTTGATGTAAGTGTATAGACGAATTATGACCCTAAAGACTATTATTTATTTTACAGAATTTATTACACGAACTTTAAATTTCGTGGACCCTGATGTCACTTTGACCTATTTTCATCTTGTAGCATTTAACTGCGTCTTAATTCCATCACCCACATAGTTTTTTTTGCTATTGCGAGGTTTAAAAGTCATAATTATTTTCTATTTTGCATCGTCTTTAAACATTTTGTCAAGTAAAAGGACACAAGTGCAACTAATGTGACATTTATTGTGGCAACGTTTCGCTCTCCAGGAGCTTTATCAAGCCTGATAAAGCTCCTGGAGAGCGAAACGTTGCCACAATAAATGTCACATTAGTTGCACTTGTGTCCTTTTACTTTACATATTGTCGGTAATTCTACCAACTTTATTACAAACATTTTTGTCGTACACTGGGTTGTGTGTCTGGGTAATGTTGATTTACGGTATTTTGGATTAACTTCGTTCATTCTTAATGATTTAGACCCAAGACTATAAAATATCTTTGTGCTGTGCTGAGAAGATAGTCTTTCATAATACAGATTCCTCCTGGTGTACAGGTCAGTGATATTGGTAGAACTATAAGTTGGGTATAATTAAAGTAGGACACAGTTTCATGAGTGGGAATGATTGGGATTACGAAAGGTCTATAAAAAAAAAAGAGTCAAAATTTTTTTTTTTTTCAGTCCACTACAAAAGTTCCAATCGTAATATAAGTAATCAAGATTTTTTTTTTTTTTGAGAGAGAGAGGCTGCAAGAGAAGCATAACAGTGTATCATAACGATTACCTCCGAATGCGACCAATTATGTAAGTGTATTTATGTAAGTGCATTTGTACGTGTATGTTTGGGGGTTTGAAATGGACTAATCTACTTCACAATATTCCTTATGGGAATAAATTCGGTCAGTACTGGCACCTGAACATACTTATGGAGTGAAAAAATATCGTTAACCGGGGGTCCACTGTAGTAACAAAAATTAATTTTATGTCGAGTAAGCCTCACCGACGAGTGAAAAATAAAATTGTTTGGCATCGGCCAATTTTATCTTCTCATTATCAACCTTGAGAAACAGATGTATCCTTATCACATACACCAGTAACGATAACAAATCATTCGCATATGTATTATGTTGGAATAGAGGACACAACGTTCATTGATGGTAAAAACAACCACTAGACGTATTTCTGATAGAGAATTGAAAATCCCTCCTGAGAGGATGATGTGCCAACTAATAAAGCAACATAATGTCCCACCTTAGCCACGGCCGGGTGGGAGTCGAACCCGTGGCAAGTGTGTTCGAAAATTCACATGCAATCGTGTTATTAAGATTTCGAAAGTCATATTCCACCTTCTTATCAAATCCAAGGGTAGAATAAATAAGTTACCATCGTGTATTTTGTAATATTTTAACTCTCTTTTGGCAAATGTGTCATAATTCTATAAAAAATAAAATTGATTATATTTATGAGTAGCACAAACGTTTATTGATTTTATTGAAAATACTGAGTTTATTCTTAATCTTTCATTGCTTTTACTTACTCGTTACTAATATATTTTTTTTAGGTTAAAGCTTATACTAATGCTTTTATGCGTGCTATCTGCAAAAATTGCTTTGAAGACCGATATTAATAAGGAACATTTCTTTTATGGTGTTGAGATGGGACCCGACCAACGGTGCCAACTACACCAGGTCGTACAGCCAGGTCCAGCAAAGCATCGTCGAGAATCTTCAGAACAAAACTCTCAAAGTCACCAGCATCCTTGTGAGTCTTACCAAAAATTCTTTTCCAACATTTCAGTGTATTACAAATATTAGTGGGTCTATTTTTGGGTTCTGGGTTATTTGTAAATTGTTCCAATCATAGTAATATGATTTTTTCCCAACAGAGTGCATGATGTTCAATACATTCCCTTGCCCGCTCCTCGCTAAATATCTTAAGAATTTTCTTATTACTAATGCTCTTAGAGGGAGAATCCCAGGAATTCGGCAGTATGACTTAACACTGTTTATTGCAGTCATTTTGCAGCAGTCTGTATGCTGCAGCCTACACACTGCTTCCTGCATATTGCAGGTTACAGCATGCCTCAGGCGAAGCAGGCCAGCGTCGAGACCCTACCTTTTCCCTGAGGAAACTTTCCCTCACTCTACCTGCTGCTGCTCCTGCAATGTTGCGCAGCTCCTGATGACACTCGGGAACATGTGAAAGATCTTAAGCTGAAGATTTCTGTCTCCCCGTGACTTACCTTTCATTGTGTTCATATATGTATGTCGTGCCGTATAGGTAAAACTTGTGATTTCGGCTTAAATGGCAACGCTCTTCTTTCCGAATATGGCAATCAAAAATTGGTACAAGCAATATTTTCAAGAAAATCATTCTGAACCTAACGATAAAAAAAATATTTCATTGTGTGTACTATTAAATTATTGTGAACTTATCCAAAATATATTTAGTTGGATTAAGCAAAATGAAATTAAGTTTGTTATATTAAGGTTAGGTAAGTTTTCTAAGGTTCTTATGGTACAAAATTATTAATTTTTACATTAACATAAATGAAAAAATACATTTTAAGCATATAAGAGAAATTTATAGAAAGGATTTCATGTTAAATGAGTTCTTGATGATTGACCATTTTTACCTATTCGGCACGACACACACACACACACACACACACACACACCACACAACATATATATATATATATATATATATATATATATATATATATATATAAAAATAATAATAATAATAATTTGCATCTGTAATAAAGTGGATTAATGTATTAAATAAGCCAAGTAACTGGAAAGGGTAATCGTCGAGGCATAATACGAATATTGTAAGAGACAATTTTGATAAAAGTTGTGTAATATGTCGTACCGTCAGGCCGCCCCTTACAATATGCTGAGGGAGACGTCAGAGCAGATGGCTGGTAACGACCGCTACGAGGGCTTCTGTGTCGACCTCATCCAGGAGATCTCTCAGGTGCTGGGCTTCAACTACACCATCAGGATCGCAGCCGACGGCTTCCATGGAAAGTATGATGATAAGACGAGAAGATGGGACGGCATGGTTGGTGAACTGTTGGATGAAGTAAGTCCTACGAACCTCCACTCATGTAACTATGGTAAATGATATTGACTTTTATTCAAACATGACATATATATTTATATATATATATATATTATATTATATATATATATATATATATATATATATATATATATATATATATATATATATATATATATATATATATATTATTTTTTTATTATTATCACACTGGCCGATTCCCACCAAGGCAGGGTGGCCCGAAAAAGAAAAACTTTCACCATCATTCACTCCATCACTGTCTTGCCAGAAGGGTGCTTTACACTACAGTTTTTAAACTGCAACATTAACACCCCTCCTTCAGAGTGCAGGCACTGTACTTCCCATCTCCAGGACTCAAGTCCGGCCTGCCGGTTTCCCTGAACCCCTTCATAAATGTTACTTTGCTCACACTCCAACAGCACGTCAAGTATTAAAAACCATTTGTCTCCATTCACTCCTATCAAACACGATCGAGCATGCCTGCTGGAAGTCCAAGCCCCTCGCACAAAAAACCTCCTTTACCCCCTCCCTCCAACCTTCCCTAGGCCGACCCCTACCCCGCCTTCCTTCCACTACAGACTGATACACTCTTGAAGTCATTCTGTTTCGCTCCATTCTCTCTACATGCCCGAACCACCTCAACAACCCTTCCTCAGCCCTCTGGACAACAGTTTTGGTAATCCCGCACCTCCTCCTAACTTCCAAACTTCGAATTCTCTGCATTATATTCACACCACACATTGCCCTCAGACATGACATCTCCACTGCCTCCAGCCTTCTCCTCGCTGCAACATTCATCACCCATGCTTCACACCCATATAAGAGCGTTGGTAAAACTATACTCTCATACATTCCCCTCTTTGCCTCCAAGGACAAAGTTCTTTGTCTCCACAGACTCCTAAGTGCACCACTCACCCTTTTCCCCTCATCAATTCTATGATTCACCTCATCTTTCATAGACCCATCCGCTGACACGTCCACTCCCAAATATCTGAATACATTCACCTCCTCCATACTCTCTCCCTCCAATCTGATATCCAATCTTTCATCACCTAATATTTTTGTTATCCTCATAACCTTACTCTTTCCTGTATTCACTTTTAATTTTCTTCTTTTGCACACCCTACCAAATTCATCCACCCATATATTTATATATATATATATATATATATATATATATATATATATATATATATATATATATATATATATATATATATATATATATATATATATATATGTTATAAGTTAATCAGATGAACTTTTGCTAAAAGCAAAGAAATGATCTTTCTTTTCAATATCTTTTTAATAAATGTCAATAAATGTCACTCGTAAATGAAAAAAAAAACGAGTAACGACAACAAGTAACTTGAATGCATATTACATGTAATTTTAATAATAAAACAGTTTACAGCATCATTCTTGTCATGTTTGTACATATATTACTACTTATTGCTTAGAATAAACCGAAGTTGCAATTTGTTTTTGTTTCTGCAGGCAACATACAGTTCCTGCATAACTTTGATTGCACGTTCAGCACACTGATTACTTCTTGGTATACTGAGTGTGGACGGCTCCTGCTTCCAGTGATTTTTCAATGAGTTCAGTGCTTTTTTCTGTAAGGTTTTAATATTTCTGACAAATTCTTGAAGTCATTTTCATCATACATCTGATCAGTAAACCAATAATCTGCCCAGGTGTAGGAAATGAATCTGTGTATCTTCTCCAATAAGATAAGGTCACAGTTAGCAGGTGATATCACAATATGCAAAACAACCACTGTGAAAAAATAACGAAATTCCAAGAGCTTTCGTGACTACTCATATTTTCAAGGAACTATAAAAAACTAAAAATCAACAGGAAAGCATATAAAAGGGTCAAGACTACACCTCACAATCACGTCACCACAACAAGACTACACCTCACAGATGCATAACAACACCCGACTCTGTGAAACACACCTGATACTCTACCCAAGCATTACGATTTTTTACTTGTCTAATGTATCATTGAATTCTTCCCAAATTTTATTAATTATAAATGAATCCAATTTATATAAACCAAAAGAAATATTCATATTTTCAAAACTGTTTTCTATGAAACGTGATTCTATTATATTCAGGTAAAATAATGAATGCAAGAATAGCTAGAATGGTTCTTGAATTCCACCTGGCATTGCTGATGTTTGGAATTTTCTGAAAGTTAGTCAAAGGAAAGTGCCTCTTTTCTTTAAAGAATCTAAACACTCGCGTTAGATGGTACAAAAACTTCACATCATCTCTCCATTATGATTTATGGAGGATCTCTTCTGTCCCATTAACAAACTGTGCATTTAGTTCCTCATAATTCTTTACCAGTTGGGACACAAATGGATACTTGATGTTTGGAGAACTGGTTTTAGCACCAAGATTTTCATCCATTACCAAACGGAGAATCCTGTCCAGAAAGTGATGCTGACAACTGATAAATTGTGATTTAATAATCCCCTTCTCTGAGAACATTCGTTGCAGTATGACAACAGCTCCACTCTTTTTCTCTGTTAACGTTTGTTGTATCAGTAATGCTCATCTTTATTGCATTCCATAAGTTGTATTCATCAATAACTGTTACCATTCCTTCAGCAATCGTTCCAGTCTTGTCATCTTTCAAATGTAGTGCATCCAGTTTTACTTCTGTTCTTTCATTTTTAAGTACTACTAACTGATACTCATTTTCGTCAACGCGCTTTCCATTAACTTGTAAAGACCATTCTTCCATTTGTAACTTCTCAATCATTTCCTCCTTCAGTATAGCAGCCTCTTTGTATGTTGACTTGTAAATTGCTGCTTGGCTTGGTGTAGGAATGTCAGTGACATCAAATGACAACTGTAGGAATGTCAGTGCCATCAAATGACAACTGTAGGAATGTCATTGACATCAAATGACAACTGTAGGAATGTCAGTGACATCAAATGACAACTGTAGGAATGTCAGTGACATCAAATGACAACTGTAGGAATGTCAGTGCCATCAAATGACAACTGTAGGAATGTCAGTGCCATCAAATGACAACTGTAGGAATGTCAGTGCCATCAAATGACAACTGTAGGAATGTCAGTGCCATCAAATGACAACTGTTCGCATATTTTGGCGGCTTTTACTTGTTGATACTTTTGTGGATGTCACCAAATTGGTTACAACTTTACTTTTGTTGTGTTTTCTGGTTGGATTAGTACTTTCATCTTCATACTCGCTCCCTTCATACTCAGTACCACTGTCACTCGATCCCAATTAGTAATTTTCTGAGTTGCCACTCATGATAAGCAACGTATATATATGTGATTTATATTTTTCATTAATTTGAGTTGCCAATTAGTACGTTCATGGTTCCAATACTATATATACTACTTGCTGAGGCTAGTATACCAAACTGGGAGTAGAATAAAATTAGCTCTGAGGCACCTAAAGTATCGTATGTCCTAGGATTACCGTACAACACCTGCCTCTGCAGGGTGCATGATTCTTGTAGGATTGTGTGGTCCATTGGGTTAAAGCGTAGTGAATTTTTGTTCACCATCAGAAGGGCTAAAACAACATGTGCTCGCTCCCCGGCTAGTCGCAGTGTTGTTATGTAGAATGTATCAAATCATTTAAACCTGTTTTACTGGTTTTCTCTGCCGACAGAAAGCTGACTTGGCCATCGGCGACCTGACCATCACGTACGAGCGTGAGCAAGTAGTGGACTTCACCATGCCATGGATGAACCTTGGTAAATACCCAACCACCTCTCTAGTCCACTTTTAGTGCTAATTTTCATTGTATAATTCTAGGTCCATAATACCAACAAATATATACAAGAAACACCTTAACATTGTTCGAAACGTTCATTTAAACGTTCATTAGAACCTATTGGACTTCAACAGATAGAGTGAGACAGAAAATTAGGGGAAATACACATTAGCGTGGAGTTCAGTTGTAGTGTATTGTGGGTTGTTAGGTAAGACACATATGCAACAGTTAGGTATCTTTATTATGAAACGTTTCGCCTACACAGTAGGCTTCTTCAGTCAAGTACAGAAAAGTTGATAGAAGCAGAAGATACTTGAAGACGATGTAATCAGTCCATCACCCTTAAAGTTTTGAGGTGGTCAGTCCCTCAGTCTGGAGAAGAGCTATGGAACAATGCTCTTCTCCAGACTGAGGGACTGACCACCTCAAAACTTTAAGGGTGATGGACTGATTACATCGTCTTCAAGTATCTTCTGCTTCTATCAACTTTTCTGTACTTGACTGAAGAAGCCTACTGTGTAGGCGAAACGTTTCATAATAAAGATACCTAACTGTTGCATATGTGTCTTACCTAACATCCTGTCGGTATTTTATACCATTTTAATGTTCAGTGTATTGTGGGGTTCACTAGGCGACCTGACGTCCTAAAATTATTTTAGCGAGACTCTAATCGTAAAACTTCCCATCGTCTGCATAACTGTTTTTATTAACAAATAGTCACAGATTCTACCAACTAAAACGCCGTTTATAAAAATTTCTTTGCTTGCAGATAAGTGTCCACAGCGATTCCCGTGAATAACAACATTATCACATCGTCAGTACACGATTTACACGCATCATTTACACGAGATCACTTAAACTCCACTTCTGGTTTCAACTATACCTGAGGCATTTATGTTAGTTACGTCTGGTTATAGAGTCTACCTTACGTTTGCACCTGGAGAAGGCGCTGGAGAAGGCGCTGGAGAAGGCGCTGGAGAAGGCGCTGGAGAAGGCACTGGAGAAGGCGCTGGAGAAGGCGCTGGAGAAGGCGCTGGAGAAGGAGCTGGAGAAGGCGCTGGAGAAGGCGCTGGAGAAGGCACTGGAGAAGGCGCTGGAGAAGGCGCTGGAGAAGGAGCTGGAGAAGGCGCTGGAGAAGGCGCTGGAGAAGGCGCTGGAGAAGGCGCTGGAGAAGGCGCTGGAGAAGGCGCTGGAGAAGGCGCTGGAGAAGGCGCTGGAGAAGGCACTGGAGAAGGCGCTGGAGAGGGCACTGGAGAAGGCGCTGGAGAAGGCGCTGGAGAAGGCACTGGAGAAGGCGCTGGAGAAGGCACTGGAGAAGGCGCTGGAGAAGGCGCTGGAGAAGGCGCTAGAGAAGGCACTGGAGAAGGCACTGGAGAAGGCGCTGGAGAAGGCACTGGAGAAGGCGCTGGAGAAGGCACTGGAGAAGGCACTGGAGAAGGCACTGGAGAAGGCACTGGAGAAGGCGCTGGAGAAGGCACTGGAGAAGGCGCTGGAGAAGGTGCTGGAGAAGGCGCTGGAGAAGGCGCTGGAGAAGGCACTGCAGAAGGCGCTGGAGAAGGCACTGCAGAAGGCGCTGGAGAAGGCGCTGGAGAAGGCACTGGAGAAGGCGCTGGAGAAGGCCTGGAAGGCGTGGAGAAGGCGCTGGAGAAGCACTGGAGAGGCGCTGGAGAAGGCACTGGAGAAAGGGGCTGGACAAGGCGCTGGAGAAGGCGCTAGAGAAGGCACTGGAGAAGACACTGGAGAAGGCGCTGGAGAAGGCACTGGAGAAGGCGCTGGAGAAGGCACTGGAGAAGGCGCTGGAGAAGGTGCTGGAGAAGGCGCTAGAGAAGGCGCTGGAGAAGGCACTGCAGAAGGCGCTGGAGAAGGCACTGCAGAAGGCGCTGGAGAAGGCGCTGGAGAAGGCGCTGGAGAAGGCGCAGGCGCTGGAGAAGGCGCTGGAGAAGGCGCTGGAGAAGGCGCAGGCGCTGGAGAAGGCGCTGGAGAAGGCGCTGGAGAAGGCACTGGAGAAGGCACTGTAGAAGGCGCTGGAGAAGGCACTGGAGAAGGCGCTGGAGAAGGCACTGGAGAAGGCGCTGGAGAAGGCACTGGAGAAGGCGCTGGAGAAGGCGCTGGAGAAGGCACTGGAGAAGGCGCTGGAGAAGGCACTGGAGAAGGCGCTGGAGAAGGCGTTGGAGAAGGCGCTGGAGAAGGCACTGGAGAAGGCACTGGAGAAGGCGCTGGAGAAGGCACTGGAGAAGGCGCTGGAGAAGGCACTGGAGAAGGCGCTGGAGAAGGCGCTGGAGAAGGCACCAGAGAAGGCGCTGGAGAAGGCACTGGAGAAGGCACTGGAGAAGGCGCTGGAGAAGGCGCTGGAGAAGGCGCTGGAGAAGGCGCTGGAGAAGGCGCTGGAGAAGGCGCTGGAGAAGGCGCTGGAGAAGGCGCTGGAGAAGGCGCTGGAGAAGGCGCTGGAGAAGGCACTGGAGAAGGCGCTGGAGAAGGCGCTGGAGAAAGCACTGGAGATGGCGCTGGAGAAGGCACTGGAGAAGGCGCTGGAGAAGGCACCGGTGAAGGCGCTGGAGAAGGCGCTGAAGAAGGCAATGGAGAAGGCGCTGGAGAAGGCGCCGGAGAAGGCACTGGAGAAGGCGCTGGAGAAGGCGCTGGAGAAGGCACTGGAGAAGGCGCTGGAGAAGGCACTGGAGAAGGCGCTGGAGAAGGCACTGGAGAAGGCGCAGGAGAAGGAGCCGGAGAAGGCGCTGGAGAAGGCGCTGGAGAAGGCGCAGGAGAAGGCACTGGAGAAGGCGCTGGAGAAGGCACTGGAGAAGGCGCTGGAGCAGGCGCTGGAGAAGGCACTGGAGAAGGCGCTGGAGAAGGCGCTGGAGAAGGCACTGGAGAAGGCGCTGGAGAAGGCGCTGGAGAAGGCACTGGAGATGGAGCTGGAGAAGGCACTGGAGAAGGCGCTGGAAAAGGCGCTGGAGAAGGCGCTGGAGAAGGCGCTGGAGATGGCACTGGAGAAGGCGCTGGAGAAGGCACTGGAGAAGGCGCTGGAGAAGGCGCTGGAGAAGGCACTGGAGAAGGCGCTGGAGAAGGCGCTGGAGAAGGCACTGGAGAAGGCGCTGGAAAAGGCGCTGGAGAAGGCGCTGGAGAAGGCGCTGGAGATGGCACTGGAGAAGGCACTGGAGAAGGCACTGGAGAAGGCGCTGGAGAAGGCGCTGGAGAAGGCACTGGAGAAGGCGCGGGGAGAAGGCGTTTGGAGAAGGCACGGGAGAAGGCACTGGAGAAGGCGCTGGAGAAGGCGCTGGAGAAGGCGCTGGAGAAGGCGCTGGAGAAGGCGCTGGAGAAGGCACTGGAGAAGGCGCTGCAGAAGGCGCTGGAGAAGGCGCTGGAGAAGGCGCAGGAGAAGGCGCTGGAGAAGGCGCTGGAGAAGGCGCTGGAGAAGGCACTGGAGAAGGCGCTGGAGAAGGCGCTGGAGAAGGCACTGGAGAAGGCGCTGGAGAAGGCGCTGGAGAAGGCACTGGAGAAGGCGCTGGAGAAGGCACTGGAGAAGGCACTGGAGAAGGCGCTGGAGAAGGCGCTGGAGAAGGCGCTGGAGAAGGCGCTGGAGAAGGCGCTGGAGAAGGCACTGGAGAAGGCGCTGGAGAAGGCGCTGGAGAAGGCTCTGGAGAAGGCGCTGGAGAAGGCGCTGGAGAAGGCGCTGGAAAAGGGGCCCCTGGAGAAGGGCGCTGGAGAAGGCGCTGGCAAAGGCGCTGGAGAAGGCGCTGGGAAGGCGCTGGAGAAGGCGCTGGAGAAGGTGCTGGAGAAGGCGCTGGAGAAGGCACTGGAAAAGGCGCTGGAGAAGGCGCAAGGCGTGGAGAAGGCGCTGGAGAAGGCGCTGGAGAAGGCGCTGGAGAAGGCGCTGGAAAGGCGCTGGAGAGGCGCTGGAGAAGGCGAGAAAGGCGCTGGAGAAGGCGCTGGAGAAGGCACTGGAGAAGGCGCTGGAGAAGGCACTGGAGAAGGCGCTGGAGAAGGCACTGCAGAAGGCGCTGGAGAAGGCGCTGGAGAAAGCGCTGGAGAAGGCACTGGAGAAGGCGCTGGAGAAGGCACTGGGGAAGGCGCTGGAGAAGGCGCTGGAGAAGGCACTGGAGAAGGCGCTGGAGAAGGCACTGGAGAAGGCGCTGGAGAAGGCACTGCAGAAGGCGCTGGAGAAGGCACTGCAGAAGGCGCTGGAGAAGGCGCTGGAGAAGGCGCTGGAAAAGGCACTGCAGAAGGCGCTGGAGAAGGCACTGGAGAAGGCGCTGGGGGAAGGCGCGGAGAAGGCACTGGAGAAGGCGCTGGAGAAGGCACTGGAGAAGGCGCTGGAGAAGGCGCTGGAGAAGGCGCTAGAGAAGGCACTGGAGAAGGCACTGGAGAAGGCGCTGGAGAAGGCACTGGAGAAGGCGCTGGAGAAGGCACTGGAGAAGGCGCTGGAGAAGGTGCTGGAGAAGGCGCTGGAGAAGGCGCTGGAGAAGGCACTGCAGAAGGCGCTGGAGAAGGCACTGCAGAAGGCGCTGGAGAAGGCGCGGGAGAAGGGGGCTGGAGAAGGCGCAGGAGCTGGAGAAGGCGCTGGAGAAGGCGCGGGCGCTGGAGGGGGCGCTGGAAAAGGCGCTGGAGAAGGCACTGGAGAAGGCACTGGAGAAGGCGCTGGAGAAGGCACTGAAAAGGCGCTGGAGAAGGCACTGGAGAAGGCGCGGGGAGAAGGCACTGGAGAAGGCGCTGGAAAAAGGCGCTGGAGAAGGCACTGGAGAAGGCGCTGGAGAAGGCACTGGAAAGGCGCTGGAGAAGGCGTTGGAGAAGGCGCTGGGAAGGCACTGGAGAAGGCACTGGAGAAGGCCTGGAGAAGGCATGGAGAAGGCGCTGGAGAAGGCACTGGAAAAGGGCGCTGGATAAGGCGCTGGAAAGGGCACTGGCGAAGGCGCTGGAGAAGGCACTGGAGAAGGCACTGGAAAGGCGCTGGAGAAGGCGCTGGAGAAGGCGCTGGAGAAGGGC